GCAGAGGAAGAGCCAAACGGAACGGGTGGTCCCTGAGTGCCTGTCACAGCTCGGGTCCCCGCGCACACCTCTCTGCCTGCGTTTCTTCAAGGTCAACGGAGACTTGTTTCTCTCAAAATAGCAACCAGTGGACGAAGCACAAAGGAAACTTCTGAAAGCAGGAAGCAAGCGGATGCAGTGCTTTGCCCACGAATCTCTAAAGGCTGGCTGTGAGTCCTGCCGGCACTTCAATCTTTACGAAACAAGCCACCAGGCAAGCGGCAGCCCAGCCGTGCCCGACAGGCCCGTGCGGGCCCTGCTGGCGGGGGGGGGGGGGGGTGTCCACGGGGACAGTGAGGGGTCTTCGTTGCGGCCGGATTTACAGACAGGCCCCGTGCTCCTCTGGAATCTCCCCTGCTGCCTAACCGGGAATGCCCACCCCTTAGGGCCCAGCTGTGAACGTGGGATGGGTTTTAACAGCCGGATAAACACCATCAGCCTGTCTGAAGGGGGGAAGACCCCCAGACAGAAGCATAATAAAGCAGACAGTAGTTTTCACTCTTTTTCATTCTTGGAAATCCCAGGAGACAACATTTAGGGAGGCGTTTGCTTGTTTCTTGTTTGTCCTCACAAATAAAAATATACATACAGGTATTTTCAATTGTGTAAGCAAGACAAGATAAACTGACCAAGATTTTAAAAATTCAAACGTTCACACTCTAGTGTCAGTTACTCGGTGTGAGGCGACGAGGCCCTGAGGTCTGTTTTCCCCGCGTGAATACCGGGGGCAGGACGAGCCCCGGGAAGGGAGAGGCCAGGCTGAGGCTGAGTATCTGGACCATAACACAGAGATGAGAAAACGCGGAAGGGAAAGAAAGAATAAAGAGCACACGGCTGCCGGCCCCCAAACAGACCTCTCCCATCTGCCGCCCACGATTTGCATGTCACCTTCCCCGCGCTCATCTGTACGTCATTAACTGCCAGGGACTTAACAAGATTTATGCAAATGACACCATAGGAGCTCCCCAACCCCCACTGCCATCAAGCGATTATGCATGTGCAACTCTCCGCAGCAGTGAAAAATTAATACGCGACAAGCCCACTCGCTGCCGAGCCGGGCCTCTGGCCTTTTCTTTTTCTTGCTTTGCTTTTTAATTTTTATCCGAATAGACCTTTTTGAGGAGAAGGAAGGAGACGGAGGAGCAGCGGCAGAAGCAGAACTCTTTGAACCAAACCTCCACTAAGACCTCGGAAAGGACGAAAAGGCAAGGTGGGCCCAGGTCCACCTCAGGAAGTGAAGTTGCTTTGCAGAAAATAAGTCATATCCTTGACGAGAAAGCTCTCACTGGGGAAGGAGGGAAGAGAGGACACTGCCTGCCGTGCACGGGCAGCTCCCGCGCTGGGGGAAGAAGCCTCTGTCTCGCAACGAACGGACGAGCTGTAAAGCGTGAGCCAAGCAAGGTTAAAATAACCCACCGGAACATGTCTGACCTGTAAAAACACGAGTCAGGCTGCAGAGCGTGTTGCAGATGGCCTCACCCATGCCCTAAACCGCCCCGGACAAGGCAGACTCCGTGATGATCACAAATCCTGGCCCGTCCCAAAGCCACCCCCAGCCCAGCCCCACCGGGAGGTCCCTGAGGTTCAGGACAACTTCTCTGTTGTTAGGCAAAGGGCCCATGGGCTGGGGTTCAGGGCCCCAACGTACAGACCAAGTCCTGAACGCGGGCTGAGTGTGGAGACAAGTGCTCGGATGCTGGTGGGAAGGGCAGGCTATCGGGACAGGATGAAGGGACCCCGTGCAGCCCCGGACAGATGCGCGAGGACCCGTGTCCCTGGAGAAGCGCGCTGCCGCAGGCCCATCTCAGGAGGTTCCTCTCCACAAGCAGGAGGTATTTCTGTCTGAGGTCAGGGGTCACGTGTTTAATTTAAAACACGTAACTTTGCTTCTTAAGCTTTATGAAGGCTTTTCGCCAACAGGCAGTGCACGGCACATGGCCGTGGGGATATGGGGGCCGGGGTCCGAATCCTGGCCCCTCAGCTTCTGAAGATGCCTGGTCTGGAAAGCTTGCCCTATGCGGGTTTAATTTAAAAATAAGGGTAACACAGGTACCCGAACCACGCAATGTTGAGGGTTCAGTGACATGCTAGATGAAAACAGCATAACGAATACTAAGCAGTCACTTAGTTGTTCCAGTTCTGTAGTGTCTAGAACATTCCGGCAGATGCTGCCCCACTGGGCTCCGTCCTCTATAATCCTCTTGCTTCATCTCTACCGGTTGAAGTCATCACTGGGAGGGTTAGGAATTTAGACTACCTCTAATGGTCTCGGCTCCTTTATAAAAATACAGATGAATCTGTATGGCAGCGTGCAAACCCACATCAGGGCTCTGACGACAGTGTCCTGAGCACGACTGATCTGAAAGTCCCGTTCTGTTGGAATCTAAAAATTCTCTCTGGCATCTCAACATCCCAGTGTCCCAAGGGAATTGGTATCGTCCAGAGCCCATTTCACAGATGAGGATTCTGAGGCCGGGCACAGAGTCCAGGGGACTCGGACAGGCCAGGTGAGGTCTCCGGGAGCCGTCTGGTCTGTGGCCACACACGGGGGGCAGCTATGAGGGACACGAGCTACGTGCACTGCCTGTGTCACGATTCTCCAGAAAACCAGACCGTGATTTAGAGTTCGACTGGATTACTTGGAACATACACAACTGAGAGCTTCCAAGGAGTGGATAAATACAAACTTTACGCCGCACGGTCAAGCCCCATCGGCACCCATACTGAAAGCCTGGCCTGTAAGGCGAGCGCCTCCACAGAGGAGCCTGGGGGTCCGCCTGGCTGGCGTGGAGGCCAACGCTCCCACCCGAACCCACAGGACGCGTGAGTTAAGGCAACAGTCTAGTACTGAGTTCTAATATTCCCAAAAGGAGATGTCCCGGGACCAATATTTTAAGTGAGAGGACAAGAGTTGAATGCTTTTTCTAATTCCAGTGGAAACAGCATCAACAGAATGAAAATTACACATTAAAATTATCTCATGTGGAGAGTTAGGTTTATAAATAAATGCACGAAGAATAAGCAACTGTGTGCTTGCATCTCTATAGCAAAGAAGTTCTTTAAGAGCCTTCGAAAACACACTCACAGACACAGAGAACAGACCTGTGGTTGCCAAGGGGGGCGGGGATGGGGCAGGGATGGAGTGGGAGTTTGGGACTAGCAGATGCAAACTATGATATACAGGATGGATAAACAACAACAACAACAGGTCCTACTGTGTTCCCTGAGCACAGGGAACAATATTCAAAATCCTGTGATAAACCATAATGGAAAAGTATATGAAAGAGAATATATATATATGCATAACTGAGTCACTTTGCTGTGCAGCAGAAATTAAACACAGCATTGTAAGTCAACTATACTTGAATAAAATTTTTTTAAAAAAAATGCAAAAGTCAGGGCTTCCCTGGTGGCGCAGTGGTTGAGAATCTGCCTGCTAATGCAGGGGACACAGGTTCCAGCCCTGGTCTGGGAGGATCCCACATGCCGCGGAGCAACTAGGCCCGTGAGCCACAACTACTGAGCCTGCGCGTCTGGAGCCTGTGCTCCGCAACAAGAGAGGCCGCGATAGTGAGAGGCCCGCGCACCGCGATGAAGAGTGGCCCCCACTCGCCACAACTAGAGAAAGCTCTCGCACAGAAACGAAGCCCCGACACAGCAAAAATAAATAAATTAATTAATAAACTCCTACCCCCAACATCTAAAAAAAAAAAAAAAAAATGCAAAAGTCAAAAAAAAAAAAAGGGAGAACAGCAAAGAGGAGGAAAGAGGACTTTCCTCAGTGGTTCTCCACGCCAGCCCACACACTGGCCGCTCAGCGTCTGAACACGTCTTACGAAAACCTCGTGGACTTCCTGCTCTGGTCTCACCTGTGACGCTGGGGCCCGATCTATCCTGTCCCTCCCCACACCTCCATGCAGAAATTGCCCGGCCCCCAGCTAAAGCTGTATTCCTACTATTTTAAACGGACTAAACTAAACTGTGGAAAGACTCCAGCCCTTTTCAAGGGTGGTCAGTGCCAACACGAGTTCCTACAGGATTGGTGAAACTAAGTACCCGGAGAAGAGGCAAAGCTGTTATCCTGCCCAAAGATTCCTCTTGCTCTGAAGCAGAACGCACTCTAAATCAACCGGCCTTCCTTAACAAACTAAAAGATGGCATTTCCAGAAGCCACGGTGCCGGGCTGAACACTTAGTTTTATTTTCCTGGGAACTACCGCAGCCAAATAGGTCCGATGAATTCCCGTTTTACTTGAGACATAAAGTAATTTGGTACCCGGCTTCTGGGCTAATGAAAAAAGATCCCAGGCTAGCAACACAGGCCAAAACAAATGCCTGCATTCGAGTCCTGTTGTGTAATGAGGAAGTTTAATTAAGGCCCCGCATTACAGCTGTAAATGTTCCCTTATATAATAAGGTCTAAATGAAACTGAACCTAATCAAAGTTACAATTCCTTCATTAGCAAATTACAAACAAGAGCGCACAGCTGACACACCGGCTATGATTATCACAACTAATTGCCTCGTTGTTACAAACCAGCCTGAAACAGCGTTCAGATGTCCGTCTGCGCGAGCAAATTAGGGCCACGTCGGGCTACTCCTGTGATCACAAGGGGCTCTTGTATGGCGATCTGATTTACCCCTGTCGACTGGCGGCCAGCGGCCCAATCAAAGCCGAGCTACAAAGGCAGCCTTTGAAGCCAGTGCAGCCTCCAAACACACTCCATACGCAGGCGGGCAGACTGCACTTCATTAGATCTGTTGTCACATTTCCCTCTTCTTATTCTAATGATCCTATTTTAATACACACAGGAACCTCTTCTAATCGATGTCAAGTGAGTGACTTCTACATTCATCAACAGAGCACATCAAACAAACGTTGGCGCACGAGCCAGCATCACCCTGAGCAGAGAGCCGGGGTGTGTCTCCAGCTACAGGGACAGGAAGGGGTAAGCAGCATACCTGTTTAATTGGGATGGCTCGACCGCTCCCGATGCTGTCCGCCCGGCTCTCCAGGCCTTTTTTCTCTTTGTCTGGGTCACTCCCTTTCCGAGACTGCAAAGTAAAAATAAAGTTAGCATTTGGGCAAGGGCTGCGGTTCACAGATCGTGGAGGTAAGCCCCCAACTGCACGGTTTCTGCAAAACACGCACCCAGAAGCCCTGGATGATCTATGTGTGCACCCACGTGTGCACACACAACCCAGGAGCAGACGGCCGGGGCGTCCATCTCCACCGAGCCATGACGTTACAGGGAGTTTTCTAAACTTTTCTTCCTACTTTTCCACTGCAAAATTATCTTTTAATTCTTTTGTAAAGAGTTCAAAATTCAATTACTAGAAACCAATGGACCATACAGGAAAGTAACGCCCAACGGGAAAACACATTCTAAAGCTGCAGTTAATCCAGCCGAGGAGGGGAGGATTCCTCGCTGCTTGTTTGGGAAAAACCTATGACATAAATGTATATATTTAATTAACGTCTGAAGGATTTAAAAAATTCTATTAACGTGTCAGCTGTGCAATTCTAAGGGACACCCTTAATTTGTATCAAGGTGCCATTAACGTTCCTTTGGATTGCTTCTGGATAGCTAGAAAAGAGCAAATTCAAAGTTAAAACTAGTTTAAGATACCACAAAAAATAACAAAGGGAAAAAAGTTGAAAATACCTTTTGGGGCAAAACATCAGTACTCTGGGGAAAAATGAGTGGCTTTGTTTGCCAAGTTCCTGAACAGTTTCCCTGGCCGTACTGCTGACGTACATGCACTGCCCAGGAGCGGGCGATCGGCGGGGAGGGCGGCAGGGGTCACCCCAGTTTGGAAGCCACAACTCCAGCACACGGTGACTTGGGGACACTGAAGGAGCACCACAGCTAAGTCTCCATCTCATCTCTTGGTGGCATGAGAACGTGTGAGCACAATGATTTTCTGACAGATTTATTTTATTATGAGAGAAAGATCTGAGATTCGTCCTCCTTAATAACTGTGCTGACAAGTGACAACTCCACTCCATTACTTTTCAATGGGAACATTACTCACGCAATATTGAAAATGGAGAAACATTTTCATGTGCTTTTCAAATCTGGGATGATATATGAAATGAACAGACTTTGTGGTGTCCAGGGCAGCAGTGAGAAGCTAATGAAATCCAGTTTTAAAGGGCGTGAGATGGAGCCGCTGATTTTTTTTTTTTTTTTTTTTTTTTTTTTTTCCCAGGCCTGTAAGAATTTTTATTATCTGCATTATTACAGATTGATGACTATTTTTTTTTTTTTTTTTTTTTTTTTTTAATATTAAAGGGGGCGATGTCGTAGGGCACAAGGGAGAAAAGTCCCCATGACGTAAACCCGGATCTGGGACTGCAAGGGGCACAAGGACTCCTTAGAAGACAGGCTTCTTCGATGATGCTAAGAAGCCGACATTTATTTACTGAACACCTACTAAGTGCCAGGCCCCGTGTGCTTTTTTTTCTTTATGATGCTAGAAGCCTGGAATGAAGTACCAGGAAACGAAACAAGCAACCAATAGAAAGTTTCAGAAGAACATAAAACATGACGTTTAACCTTTGGGCTAGGAAAGAAATAGAGATTTATCAATTCCTTGTCATGAATTTTAGTTAAGAGTTGCGGGCTCACTTTTCTCTTTAATTAACTCTTTAATTAATAATCTGTGGTAAGAGCTACGTAACAGCCTTAAATTCTCTTTTCCCTACCTCTCAGTTTATAAGAAAGCTGGAATTTGAGGTTACTATTTGTAAAATGAGATTCAAAGCTCATGGTGACGACTTTTAAAATTGTTTTAAATCAACAGACACCATTAATGGTATTTTCAGCATTCTATGAATTCTAAATTTCTAAATCTGGAAATCTATCTTCATTATTCTCTATTAACCAGAATAATTAACAAAGCAAACATTAAAAAAATCAACATCTTCCTCAAGGCAGCACATCTGTCCTCACAGCCACTCTGTCATCAGAGCAGAATTTCCAGATTCCACACGAAGCAGGATTATGAACTAAGCTCCATGTTTGATCACACTCCCTGAGATGAAGGAGGTCGAAAGTGATGTAAGACTTCACTGCCAAAATGCAACAGAAATTCCCTACAGCTCCACGACATTGGTGGAGAGAGTCATAAAACTAAAATTTCAAGACAGACCAGGGGTTATTTGTTAGGCAAAAGGGTTTGCTGTATCGCTGTCTTACAGTGACTTTTGGTACAACAGGCTGTGATATACATCATAAAACTGAAATCCAACAACGAAACTAAAACAAACCCGTTGGACATAAGACACCGCAGCACGTACAAATTCCCAGTAAGATCTCCTGATGTTTCTGCCAACTCTGAGACTACATCACCCACGTCCTTACGTTCCAGCTGAAATGGCTCCGTGAAATCATCAGATCCGAAGTCTCTCTGGGTACCGCTGCCTGGGTCAGGAGTGAGTGTGCAAGGCATCCAGCCTGACACACAACCAGAAACCTAACGGGAGTTTATCACACCCATCACAGAAGGTCGGGGGGAGCCAGAAGTGGGACCGTGTAGCCTCCGCAAACAGCGAACACAGAGGAAAGAAAGGCTAGGATAACTCTCGTTACCATCTCCTTCTTTAGAGGAATGTTTAACTTCCCCCCAGGTGATAAAAGAAGCCATGAAGGGGCACCCCATCAGCTGCCTGCTTACAAGGACAGGCAGCATCGCTGACAGGAGCCCTCACTATCAAACAGAAACCTGCTTTCCCCTTTTTAACTGATGAGTAAGTCAAAGGCTGCTGGAACACATATAATAGGATCCACGCTCCCCTTCTCTACAGAAGACAAAATACCATTCAAACAGGTCTATTTAGACTATCAATTTTGCTGCCTTATTTTTACAGAGCGTCTCTATGAGCTGGGCTATGCCTTTTTCACAATCTTAGGTTACTGGGTATGCTTGGCTCTGTTTCGGGGTGTCGGCATTATATGGTAAGCTTTAAAAAATACCATGTAAGTGACACCACGATTATAAGGCTTGAAAACAGGCAAAGCAACGGACAATTGGGGGCACGTACTAGAATGAGTTTAAGACATGGATACAGATAATAGACACCAAATCCAAGGGAAAGCCGATCCCTGGACCAGGGGTCAGGGGGATGTATTCTGGAGGGGCACAGTTTATCTGTGACTGGGTTATTTCTAGAAGAAGTAACCGCTGCAGTGGCAGAAAAATGCTTGTATTTGCTGAGTTGCACGGTGAGTACATGCGTGTGTTTTTTAAAATTCCTATATGTTTGAAAATATTTCCTAACAAAACATTCGAACCACATGTAAATTAGGGCTACTAATCATCCTAAGTGCCAACATTGCAGAACCAGGAAGTGAATGGAGATAGCCTTTGAATATTTCTTTTCTCAAAACGATGATTTTTTCCTCAAAGAAATAAGATAGGATATAATTTAGCTTTTTTATCAGTGAAGTGCCCTTCCTACCGCCAATGTAACACATAATTTGCTACTACAGGAGAGACTTTTTAAAGTCTGTACTATTTTGTAAAAGGTGCGTGTGATTTATTTTTGCTTAAGATTTTTGCTTATTTCTGCACATGTGTATATGCCAACAGAAACATCTGGGACTGAAGAATGTTAGCCCAGAGTGGTACCTTTATAGGTCATCGGATCCGAAGTTTATACAATTCATAAGCACGTTATTTGAAAAATGGTGTGTGTACTACTTAATTACCTCTGGCCTCTTTATGAGGGTCTAATAAACAAAGACAATGCTCCCTCATCTGGGCATTACTGTCGCAGCCTGCGTGGACTTTTATTCACTAGGATTGTTTGGCATATGGTACTTCTGTCCTCCTAATACACGCTTTTCAATAAATACACTTTTGCCAATTTAAGCCAGTAACTACCAATAATCGCCAGGGATGAAGAGTCTATGAAATTTTACATACTTAAGAATAGATGCAAACCGGTAACAAGGAGAATTTAGTTTCCTAAGTGGCTACAATTTCAAAATTAATTTGCTTCTTGTCATTCCTTGGATGACACTGACATCTAGTGGAGTTGACACTTCTAAGATCTTCAATCTACAGCACCCACCCGGCACCACCACCATCACCGTCATCGTCTTGTTCAATGCCAAATCCAGTAATGACGAAGACACAGGAGCTCAGCCGTCCTTTCCCTGAACGCCGTGATGCAAACCCGCCGTGAGGTTAGCTTTTTCCATGACCCGAGTCCTGTTCCCGCTAATGACAGCCGAGCAGCCGGATTCGATTTCTAAAACGGTGTATCTACTCTCAGACCATTTTCCAGCACTTAAAGAGATCAAGCACTGATCCCGCACAGGGTCACAGGCAGGCCGCCGCATCACTAGCTACGTTAATTATGACACAATAAATGAGGGTGAGTTCTTATTGGCTCCGGCACGGCCCCACCCAGATGAGTTCTTATTGGCTCCGGCACGGCCCCACCCGGCCTGGACAGCTGCGCCAGTGGCCTCTGCCCGGGTGCCTGGACGCGGCAGCGGTGCGTGCGTGTGCGCCGCTCCAGCAGCAGGGAGAGCGCCCCCTCGCTCCAGTCTCCGCTCTCTTCCTGGCAGGCAGAGCCCCCCGGTCTCTAATCCGCTTCCTCGTGAACGTGGGTTATAGCTCCCATAACACTATCCCTGATAGAAAACAGAACCCAGCTGCGCAGACAGCAGAGGGGAAGGGAACGTTTATTACCCGAGTTACCGTGCCTTTGCTTCTTCCTGCCTTAAACTTGTCTCCTTTGTCAGTTGCCCAGTGGGCAGGGTCTGGGACACTATTTTCCGGCACATGCCAACCCCAGGGCTGCCCTTATAAAAGGTGGGGGTGGGCACGTGTCCGAACAGACACATTTTTTCCTTTTTCCTTTTTTTTTTTTTTAATGGTACGCGGGCCTCTCACTGTTGTGGCCTCTCCCGTTGCGGAGCACAGGCTCCGGACGCGCAGGCTCAGCGGCCATGGCCCACGGACCCAGCCACTCCGCGGCATGTGGCATCTTCCCGGACCGGGGCACGAACCCCGTGTCCCCTGCATCGGCAGGCGGACTCTCAACCACTGCGCCACCAGGGAAGCCCAGAGCAGCCCCATTTTAAAGAGACTTCCTGGTTCTCACCTCTCACCTTGAACAGAAACCAAAGCCAGTGACCAGGAAAGGTGACCCTTAGAAGGTGTCGTGAGCCTGGGTGTTCCCTCTTCCCGCCACACCCTAGAAGGAGCGGCAAAGATACAGAAGATACTCTGGTCCACATTCAAGAGCCCCCGCCCCTCCCCGCTACACTGGTGCCCTGCTCACAGCCCAGTCTCTCTGCATCTTCGGCAATGGGCTTCTCAGTTCCACTAAGCCATGAGTCAGTGCACAGCCTGTTCTGTGAGGTGACACCTTCTCAACTGGAAGACCCAACCTGGGCGTACAGAAGTGTTACAGGTGTTGGATAAGCCAGAAGTGCTGCTTAGGCGACTGCTGTTATTCTCGGTATGTCTGAAGAAATTCCACAGTAAAGCATCTTATTCATGTACAGATTTACGCATATCAGATATTCACCTGTATTTTGCAGACACCTAATTACCTCCCTCCCAATCTATTACACAGCCCTACAACGACTTTCTTTCTTTCTTTCTTTTTTAAATTAATTTACTTTTGGCTGCGTTGGGTCTTCGTTGCCAAGTGCGGGCTTTCTCCAGTTGCGGCGAGCGGGGGCTGCTCTTTGTTGCGGTGTGCGAGCTTCTCATCGCGGTGGCTTCTCTTGTTGCAGAGCACGGGCTCTTGGTGCGCAGCCTTCAGCAGTTGTGGCTCGCAGGCTCTAGAGCACAGGCTCAGTAGCTGTGGTGCACGGGCTTAGCTGCTCCGCGGCATGTGGGATCTTCCCGGACCAGGGCTCGAACCCGTGTTCCCTGCATTGGCAGGCGGGTTCTTAACCACTGCGCCACCAAGAGCGCAACAACTACTTTTGCTTATGCATTAAGAGAAATCATTCCATAACATTCGTGGTGGTGAGATAAAAATGAAAGCAAAGGCCACAAAGACTCTTCACCCCTACAGGGAATCTTCTTAGCAGCCTCACCACAACTACCGTTGTTTCCAGCTCAGGCAGATTAAGTAAGTTGCCCAAGGTCAAGCAGCTGCTGGCAGTGCAGGACCGGGTCTGAGCCCGTCTGATCCTCACTCTGGCCCTCCAATAGAAGCATCTGGCAGCACTCACATGGCACAAGGCAGAGAGCAAAGGGAAGGGGAGAGCTGTGAGGAGGGGGTGTCCACCGTTGGCAACAGACCTTGGCACTAAAGACTTATCTGATGGGAAAACTGTTATGAACGTGGTGGGAAAGGGATGGGGCATCTATCGTACTCGGTAGCCTCGTTCACCACCAAGAACGCCATCTTCAGGGAATTCCCTGGCGGTCCAGTGGTTAGGACTCCTTGGTTTCACTGCCGAGGGCACGGGTTCAATCCCTGGTGGGGGAACTAAGATCCCACAAGCCTCGCAGTGCCGCCAAAGGAAAAAACAAACAAACAAACAAACAAGGAAGAAAGAACGCCATCTCCAAGTAAGGGCAGTGGGTCAGATAAGAGACTTGCGGCCACCCCTGCAGAATCTTCCTTCAGTTTAAGCCAGGAAATACTGAACTTCTTTGCATCTAAGTCAGCGATAATCAACCAAGAGGAGAAGTCAAGTGGTTTACAACAGGGCACCCTGACACTGGTGGCTGGAGACCTCTTTGTTGTGGGGCTGGCCTGTGCATCGCAGGATGTTTAGCAGCTCCATGGTTGCTATGCAGACTAGATGCCTGCAGGACCACACCCACTCCCACCCCCGAGCTGAGACAATTCAAACTTTCTCCAGAAATGGCCGAATTTCTGGGAGTGCAAAACCGCCTGGTTGAGAACCCCTGCTCTGCAAGCATATGCTTGTAATGCACAGACCTAGTCCCAGGAGGGAAAGTGTTCTTCTCAAATCAAATGACTCCAGTCACACAGCAGTAGCAGCTCTGCCTGGAGTTCTGTGGCCCCGAGTTCTGGGCTCCACTGCAAAGCCTTCCCTGATTGATTGGTAATGTCTGCTGTGTGTCCTCTGTAGTTCAGGGGTTCTCTGCGTCCCAACTGCCCAGGGAACTTTTAAAAACTACACACACCTGGGCCCCATGCACAGATTCTGAGTTCGTAAACCTGAGCCCTGAGAGCTGATGGAGAGTTTTAAAATGCTCTGCAGATGGTTCCGAAGAAAAGTCCAAGTGGACTGGCTTCTGTCTCTGAGCTGCTAAAGACCCTGAGCTAAGTCCTCAGTGCTCCAGCCTGAGGAGAAGGGGGTCTGTGCATTGATATGGCTTTATACATCTCATCTGAAAGGCTTGATGCACACGTTTGGGGAATTCTGGCAGAGTGTGTCAGCTCCATGTATCTAATGTGACAAGTCTTTAGCTAGAGACCAAGAAAGTCACAGGATGACAGAGACCTTTATACAAACCCCTTGCTCTTCATTTCTGACACATGTCAGGACTCCCTGCAACTGAGGAAGTCCCACTTTGCTCAACACCTCCATCTTGGCATCCTGTAATTTTCTGAGACTTCCACAGAACTCAACACTCTTCTCGTTAATTTGGTTTGGATGCTACACCTGTCGCTGAGCCACCTGGCGGCCAGAGGACTGCTAGGTGAGCAGGAACCACGCTCCGATTCCCCCCCACCCCCCGCCCTCCGGGGGGACACTCACGGTGAAGAGGTTGGACCGGCGCTTGGACTGCTTGCGGACGGGCGTGGGCGTGTTGGCCGCGGGCGGTACGTCGATACGCAGCTCCTTTTGGCTGGTGCTGGGCGTGGACGGGACAGAGGAGGAATAGTCGCTCAGACTCCCGCCTCCGTTACTTGTCTGTAATGATTGAAAGCCAAGGTTTTGTTAGGACACGCTCCAGGAGCCTAACCCGCCACCTGCGTGGGGTCATAACCCACAAGTCAGCAAGTTGCATGGAGGCGCGGCCCGGCCGGTGGGATCAGCATCAAGCAGGCACCGTTTCATCCTAGAACAGACCGATCAGCTCAGCAGCGTTTTGTCTAAGAAAAGTGACTTAAGACAGAGAAGTCTCTTTCGTTTGATCTTATACACTACCAAGTGTAAAACATGCCAGTGGGAAGCAGCCGCATAGCGCAGGGAGGTCTGCTCGGTGCTTTGTGACCACCTAGAGGGGTGGGATAGGGCGGGTGGGAAGGAGACGCAAGAGGGAGGGGATATGGGGATATATGTATACGTACAGCTGATTCACTTTGTTGTACAGCAGAAACTAACACACCACTGTAAAGCAATTATACTCCAATAAAGATGTTAAAAAATCTGAGAGTTAAAATGTCATTATTTTCTATTTCCTCTGAAAAGGGAAGGGGTTGGTTGAACCAAGTGGTTGCTACAGTCCCTTCACTGCTCCAGATTAGAAGGAGAAAGAGTGCAATTTTGCCCAGTAGAACCAAAACTCACATTTTGAAAATGACCTCTTGAAGGGATAAATTGGAAGACTGAGACTGACATATACACACTACTATATATAAAAATAGATAACTAATACAAACCTACTGTATAGCACAGGGAACTCCTCTCAGTACTCTGTAATGACCTATATGGGAAAAGAATCTAAAAAAGAGTGGATATATGTATATGTATAACTGATTCACTTTGCCGTACACCTGAAACTAACACAACATTGTAAATCAACTAGGCTCCCATAAAAATTCATTTAAAAAAAAAAAAAAAAAAAAAGAAAATGACCTCTTGGAAATGTGAAAGCTTCTGGAAGACATTTCAAGATTCAGAGAGAATTACAGATGCCTAGAGTGGGATTTAACATCCTTGAGCGTGCCTGCACAGGACCCTACTGTAAACGCACTTCCTGACTCTTCAAGCTACCAAAAGCACGATACCAAACCTTCTCACTACATCTCTTTAAAGAGTGCCAATATAACACCCGCCTAAGAAATGCTAACCGAGGACACACGGGCAGGCAAAAATAAGCCAACAGTTCCTTACTGGGTTTTTGGTTAGGTTTTTCAAAGTGACAGTTATATTGTTTGCTCCCAAGTAAACAGCAAAATGTTGCAATGGAAAGATACTAGTTTCCCCAGGGCCTACAGGAGACGGGAATTATAACTGAGGGCTGCTACCAGATTGAAGCATATTGTAGGATTAGCCACTGAGATTCACCCACAACTGCCCAACCTACAAGCAGATGAGAATGAGGACCAACGTGGGGTCATTTAAATCAACAGCAGAGGGCTTCCCTGGTGGCGCACTGGTTGAGAATCCGCCTGCTGATGCCTCCTCAGGTATCAAGAGCTGCATTGGCATCTGAAGATTCTTCCCAACCACTCCTGTTCCTTTTCCCATTACCCTTCAGAAGCATTGACCCCCAATAATTGTCTTGCACTTCCAATTTCCTCTTGGTGTCTGCTTCTTGGAGGACCTGAACAGACATAGCTTATAAATAAGAGAAGACTAGTATCCAGAATGTATATGTAGAAACAAACAAACTACAGATTGATGAGATAAATAACTCAATAGAAAATTAGGCAAAAGATACAAACAGGCAAGCCACAGAAGAAATCTAAGAAGCCAGTGAATACACGAAAAAAAAAAAAAAAAAAAAAAAAAATCAACAGCAGAGACGGCAGTGCACACCCCGCACCTCCATTCCAGCCAGCATGCCTCATAACACAGGCAGCGTGAAGACAGGGAATATTAAAGAATGGTTCCCATAAAAACCACTTGGCCACAGCAGTTTCTGAAGGAGATGTTAAGTCAATTACCGACATGCTGTTATTTATAAAGTTGAAAAGAAAAAAAAAAAATCACCTCGGAGCTGGCTGAGAGCACTATTTGGCAGGTGTGTCCTCCTGGGTTCTGACCTGCTTTTCAGTCCAACCTCTCACGGGACCAACATACCTGGCTGATGTGCACGGCAGACACCTGTGCCGAACAGACAGATGAGTGGCTCGGAGAGTTGGGTAGGGACTTGCAGGGCCCGATGGACAGCTGCTGCTTCTTCCTCGTGGCAACAATCTTCTGGGCAACTAGGGGACAGGAAGACAGAAGAAGTCTATGTGAGGCTGGTTTCCAAACAGAGGGAATGTGGCAGAGACCGAGGGCTGTCTCCGTTATCCACTATTCTTTTCATCCGCGGTAATAGAATTCCTGATTTTTAGTTGGGCACAGGACTACCAGAATAGATGTGACATTTCCTGGAGCTTCCTCCGGTCCATCCCCTTGCACCCCAGCTAAATGTGGCCATGCAAGCAAGCTCTGGCCAATGGGATGGCAGCGGGAGGGTCACATGGCGGCATCCAGGAAACATCCTTGAGAGAGCTGCCCCTGGCCCATTTCTTCCTTATGTCTTTTTCCTTCTTGCTATGTAAAAAGCACATATGTTGGCTGTAGCTCTGGAAGCGATCTTGCAGAAGGAAGCCACATTTGGTGGGACACAAGCCCCTTCTAGGGGCTAGGCCTCTGGCTCGGCAGCCTTGCGCAAACCTCAGACGCTTTATATGTAAAACACAAAAATACACACCCATCTTGTTTAAATTATTCTAATAATAGGACTTTCCCCCCAGTTACTTGCAGCAAAAATAATCCTAAATAAGACAGGGTAATTTAAACCAAACTCTTTGGAAAATGAAAAATCTCTTTTTTTGCAGGCTACTGCATAGAATTATATTCAAGGACATGTAATTATGTCAAAGATGTTTTTTACTTAAATATACGGCTATACACATTGGGAGTTTATCTTAATCAATACAAATCTAAATTCAACCAGCCATAACTTCTCTTGGCAAATAGGCTGGCTGACAAAGCATATTGGATTTGGCTGGAAAGGAAGTCAACGATTAGAAAACTCTTCCTACACCAATAGGTGTCACTACAGGAGAATAACTACAGCTTTTATTTGAACAGATGTGTGTCTTTGGGGAATAGCTGTAATTAAGTTCAATGATATTCAATCCTTATCTTTGTCCAGACAGGTTGCTGATTTAAAAAATACCCACGCAAAGGAAAACACACCACTGTCCCTAGCAATAGCTTATGTTAGAGAAGGAGCACACACAGTGTCCGCAGATAATTTCTTTTCCAAATGAACATAATTTTAATAAGGAACTGGTCTGTCCACAGCTTATGGCTTTCACGTAAATGAATGATAGTATAAATACGATTAAGTGAAAATGCAATATATAAAAAATGGCTCACAGAGATGAATAAGCAGCTTCATTAGTTACATCCCACCTCCGATAGGCCTCTAATCATCCTGAAAGGATGATATCAATTAATTTATCTTCCCGTAGTGTATTGATCAAAACCTTCATCAGCTAATCACGTTTAAATTACAGAGGAATATCGCAACACTCTGTCATTTCAAAACCATTGGCGTATCGATCTGGGGTCTTTGAAGACGCACATTAGAATATTTTAAAAATCATTATGTGAACTCAAAACTAAAACCTAAGATCAGATTCCAACAGCCGCAAAACGTGTGTCTTATAGATGAACTGAAATCCCCAAACCAAAAGTAAATTAACTTAAAATCATGATTGTCTGGGTGACTGCCAATTTACTTCTATTTTTTTCTTTTTTTTTTTCCTGAAAAAGAGCAAAAGGTTTTTTCTGTGTGTTCAACTACTCCTGGCCTCAGAGTCACTATTCAGTCGGATGACCATACTGACTTTCACCTTAAATCTCATCGTAAAAACACAAATGTCAGAATTAAACAGGGCGAAGCTGGTGGGAGAACTTCATAGACATTTTCTGTAAGTGTTTTCTACTCTAAGGGGAGATTTGAGAAACTTTCTAAGACAAGTCAAATATGTTATTAAAATCCTCATTTTATGAAACTCCAAATGCAAATCAATGTTCCCTCCTTCCCACGTGGAGGCTAAAAGAGCAAGTTCATGGGCGGAGAGAACCTTTTCCCATTAAACCCTCTCACAGAATGGGGCTGTGCAAAGCGTGAACCACACGTCAAGTACTACGGTTCTTCGGTCCACTCCACTGACTTATTGCTTGGCCACATTTATTAAAAAAAAAAAAACCCGAAGTCACAACTGCTAATAACTGGTAGCATTCTTAAAAATTTAACTAGAACCTTCAACCCTATTTGTTGTATTTCCCCATAATTTTTATGTCTACACACACATGGAAGAAAGGAAATGAGTTACAAATATTTTGTTCTAAAATACATAGACTGCTTTAGGAGTTACAGGATCACCCATAAAAGTGGGGGTAGTATCTGACTTAAGAAGGAAAAGGAGACAAGGGGACTGTTTTGTAAGGCTGGGCCGCCTTCTCCCCCACAGTGAAAAGCCCCCGGCCCACTGCGGGCCACAGGGCTGGGCTGGGCTGTGCGAGTGGAAGGGCCCCCCCGCCCCAATAACAACTCAAGGGAAACGGGACGCCAGGGGCAGGGAGGCACTATTCTCTTGTAACTATAATCATCAACTTTTCCTGATACTTGGAACATTTAAATGTCAGGAGACTTAGAACATGAATATTACTTACACCCCAGATTACACTGGCTGGGAAATTTTTATAATCACTGAGTTTCTGTCTGCATTGGATCATTCCACAAATGAACACGTCACGTATTTTATATAAATACATGCAATGCACGAATGAGAAAACAAACACAATCACTTGAGATTCCTTAAAAGAATCTGGACTCTTTATCATCGAGGGGTGATGTTTTTCTTATTTTGGTTGCCCGAGGCGCTAAGCCTACGTCTGAAATGCTGTCGTTGGCAGATACGGAAAATGTCTGCTCTTTTACCAGACACCCCGCCAATTTCATTAACCTGATATGGCAATGCTAGTACTTGGTGTCATTTTAAAAGTCACTTCCTAGGGATGTAACGTGCATGATAAAGTCACAATAGTTAACACAGCTGTAGGTTATACATGGAAGTTGTTAGGGGCGTAAACCCTAGCAGTTCTCATCAAAGGTAAAAAACTTCTATTTCTTTAATTCTGTATCTATTTTACATAGATATTTTATTATATCTCAGTAAAACTGGAAGGCAAAAACTGTTCAAATACCTTCAAGTATGAATGAATGATGGAATGAATGAATGAATAATGAATATCACTCCCTCCACAATTTTGAAATTTTATTTGGGTAATAGGTAAAACATACCCTTTAACGAGCCCCTTCAACCATATCTATAATTACACTGTAGAAACTTCAAAACCAAGCAAGCAAACTGCTGGTGCCTGGGAGAGGCATGAGGGGCTCCTGGGGGCTGGCAGTGGCCCCTTCCTGACCTGGGTGATGACTCTGAGATCATTCTTTTTTAGCTGTACCCTTAAGTATACTTTCATAAACCTATTTCCATTCTTCACCTAGAAAGAAGTTTATTTACAAACTTAAGCAACAAGAAAAGCGAGTTACACATTTACTTTCCCCACAAATTTTAAATTCTCTATTGGACAGATGATAAATGGCACCTTTTAATTAGTGTGTAAAGATAAGACTCTCAGATAGCTCGCAAATAAGACCTCATTAAATCCTGGCCTAATGCCCGATTTCTGCTTCCGCTTTGTTTCCCAAATCATTTGCACTAAAGGAGGAGCAGAAAGAACGAATCTGGTCACACCAAGGGAGTCAGGCCCACCTCTCACCAGGTAACTAGGGGCGTGCCCCTCCCCTCCCTCTCCCCCCTCTTCTTTGTCCCTTACATCTGAACGATGGGCCAGCGGTCTGCACTTCCCGTCTACTGAGTCATTTAATCCTCGCGGTTGAGGAAAACAAGGCAGAGGGGGCACCGGCAGCAGAACAGGGGTTCAGACATTCTGTCGGCCCCCGTGACGGCTCCAAACACTGCCACCTGGCAAGGAAGCACACTCCCAGACTCTACGGCTCCCAGGACAGGGACTGTGTACCCCTTGGCCCTGTCCCCTCACAGACTCTCCCTTGCTCTGCTGACCATTGCAACCCGGCTTCCGCCTCCATCCCCTCGGCTGGACCTGCCATTGCCAAGGTCGCTCGTGACCAACTGGAGGCCAGGCGCATCCTTCTTGGCCTCTGGGCCGCGCTAGGCACCGCTGATGGTTCCTCCTCCCATGACGCTGACTTTCCTGGGTTTCCTCCCCTGGCTGGAACCTCTTTCTCAACCTCCTTCACCGGTTCTTTGAATGTGGGTGCTTCTAGGCTTCCTTCTTTGGCCCTTTTCTCTCCATGCCTATGGCTCCCAAATCTATATGTAGCCTTGCTTTGTGCCCTTCCTGCTTCCAGAACCGTGTATCCCATAACCAACGCCACACCTGCCCTTGGATGCACCTCAGTGTCCCAACCTGGGCCTCGCCTCTAACTCCGCACCACCCGAGCAACCCCAGGGCAGGGACAGAGGAGCCAGAATAGATCGATTCTGCCACCAGAATTTCTCTTCAGTTCACCCTCACTGCCAATGCCTTGACCCTAACCTCGTCTGCCCGTGGCTGGTTTCTGAAGCAGCTTCCAAAGCTGTCCTCTCCTCACTGCCACTCAAGGGTCACACTGCAGGGCGACCTCCGCAAAGGTGACTCTCACGGGCCTTGTCCCGCTCAAAGTTCTGCAAACGCTCCCGTCACCAGACAGATGTCAGAACCGAAATTTCTCAGCAAAATGGGGCTCTTGCACGCTTGGGAGGGGTGGATTCTCCCCTCCTGTTATCACTTCCCATGGATCCCAGCTCCCACGACCCAGACACTCCTGGCCTCTTCCCAAGCCCTCCAGGGAAGGTCCGACCCACTGACAAGTGACTTAGGTGATGGCCAGCTTGGGACAGGCTGTCCCTTCTCCATCCCTTCAGTCTGGGGCTCCCACGCTGCCTGGAACCATACGGGCAAGTCTGTCTGATTCTGGTTTCCACAGAAGGAAGCCCAGATAAGCTTCATTTCCCAGGACAGCTTTACCAATAAAAAGTAGTCATCCGATCTTCCAGGGTCTTATTCCTTAACGGGTTCCGAACCCCAGGGAGGACAAGGGTCCCTGCCCAACCGGACACGGCCCCACTCCAGCCTCGCTGCCGGCCCCCGGGCTCACTGCCCACTT